GAAGGAAGGAAGGAAGGAAGGAAGGAAGGAAGGAAGGAAGGAAGGAAGGGAAAGAGAGAGACATAGAACAGCAAAGGCAGGCAGGCAGGTAAACAGTTCTTCCATTTTAATTCAGGACTATATATTTCTGCAACCAATTGTTGACTGCCCTGTCCCAAAACAAGGTGAAAAACCAAAGTTTCTCTTCAGCACACCTACCCTGGCAGATTCCAGATAATGCTGCAAAGACTGGCTAACCACCCGTGTGTTTTCCAGGGTAATGGTAGGTCCAGAGAAATATTTTTCGACAACTCTCGGCTGCAAGGGCAGAAGAGCAAAAAAATCAGTCCTGAGCAGCAGTTCCCCACTGCCTCCCCACAAAACCCTGAAACCTGAAAAGAGGGTGCATTTTTGCTTGTTTTTTCTCTGGCCTCAACTATTCCTGTTCTCTTCCAATCCAGACAGAAGAAGAGCATCTTGGCCCAAACCAGTGTACTTGGGGAGTTTTGCCACCCTTCTCCCTATGCTCTTTCCCATTCAAACAGGCTCCCTTTCAGGAGGAGGAGGAGGAGGAGACACACCGTCTACGCACATCTCCCTCTAGCTGGAGAGTTCACAGCTCAGAGTACCTGCTTTCCAAGCCAAAAGTGCCAGTTACAGCACCCCAGAAGCTGGCTGGAAGGATCCTTCAGAGGATCAATCTGCATTAGTCAGGCCAACTGCCTGATTTGATGAGCCACTGTTTGACTAATGGAGAGAGGCATCTGCTTCCTGCCTGAGCCTGTCGCTCGACACTTACGTCATCTTCAGCAAAGACGGAGAGGCTGAAGAACACCCCAAGGTAAGAGAGTCTCTGGAGCTCTCGGCCCATCCCAGGGCTTAGGGATTTTGGCAGCCACAGAGGCAAAGACACCACCTGGAGAGAGCACACAGATCCAAAAAATGAGCAGGACGGGGGCTGGATGCTTGCATCGCTCTGCCTTTTCAGTCCTTGGGCAGAATCCCGCAAGGATTCCATGGGGTTGACCCAGCCCATCTTGCTGTTTTCCAGCTTCTCCGCTTACCAAGCTGCAGACGGGATGCGATTTTCCAAACTTGATCTCACACAGTTCCCCTAAAGCCTGGGTGGGAAGAGAAGGAGAACCAAGCGTTCAGATCCTGCTTCTGCTCCGACCTGCGTCTGGGTCGTGGGAACGAAGCACGGATGAACCAGAAGCCTAACCAAAGACCCCTGGGAGTTAGAGCTCACCAACGTGGGTGGGGGGGATAGAGTAAGAAGTCCTGGGCCTCTCTTCAGAGCTGAGTTAAAAGCTCCTAGCTTGGGCACCCCCGGAGAAATCATTGCAGCTTAGCCCGCAGCCTTGCCTGGTTAATTAAGAGGCTCTAACTAACAACAGCAGATCTCAAACAATCAATCCTTGGAGGTCTAAATTGAGTATCACTCCCCACAAGACCTTCTCTATTTGTTCTTCTTAAGTTGAACACAAGATCTGAGAGAATGGGTTTTGATTCCATTCCCCTAAACAGAAGTCAGACTCTGCCTTCAACATTCCTTCAGTTAATACTCCTCTTTAAAAACTAGCCTTTCGAGTAAACCCCATTCTTTGACGTGGTCCACGCAGCCACAATCCCGGGAACAAATCAGTGCGAAGTTTGTAAGCAGGCAAGAAAAGCAACTCCAGAGGAAATGAAGCCACAGGTTAAACATGAATCTTTTTAAGGATTCAGGGCAACAGAAACGGCACTTTGTCCGGTGCCGGAAGGCTGAACAACGTGAGTGTGGGGGAAAGTTTCACCGGGGGGAGTTATTCACAGGGAGTTGGCCCTTCTATCACTACCACAACGGCTCTCTGCCCTTCCTTCGGCCATTCACCATGTCTCCTCCAGCAGGCATGGCCAATTCTGTGCAAGGGAAATCCTTGTGTGACAAAAAAAATTCACGAAACTTTTCTGCAGACCACGGTATCAACAAACTCAAAAAACGGCCCCTTTCAGGAGCTGGTAACAAACTGATTTGTTGTCTTCCACATACCCCAGGCTTTGTCTCACCAAATGTTGCGATCTCAAGCCAAACAGCCTAACCTACATTTCCAGAAGAAAACACACCTCAAAAGGAGGTTGGTAGATGATCGACCACGTAGCCGACATCTCTTGGCCAGCTTGATAATTATATAAAATTAGATAATAATTGTGCACTGCTAGCTCTCCAGAAGCTTTATTGCACTACAGGGTTTGGGGGAAGGGGTCAATCAAGTGGCATTATTAATACATTTACCTAGTCAGTCCTTTCATGCTTTCAGAATGCTTCCCACACATTATTAAATTGAGAGCAACAATCCCGTCGGGTACATTGGTGACATTACCCCTTATTGCCAACGGTGAGTCATTGGCCTAATGAAAAGCCTTAATAGAGTAACCCCAGAACAAATTAATAACTTAAGCCACAGTTTAATGACAGTGCAAATGGGACGTTGTTTAGCTTGAAGCAGTCACTCGTGTTTGTTTATTTGAAAAAGGCAAACCTTTACCACTTCACAGTATAACCAAGGTCAGAAATTTTTTCAGTAATTTATAGGGGGATAACCCAAATATAGAAAATCAGCAAATTCAGAGTCTGTTAAGAGTCTTCCTTCCTTCCTGCTCCATTTGAACCAGAGTGATTTGGCTTTTTTTCCTGGTGTAGAGGAACATTTCATGATGTGAGCCCCCACCAGCCATCTAAAGACCCCAAACCCTGATGAGAAAGGGGCTGTCTCAAATGTTAAGCACCCAGGTTAAGTGGCACCAGCAGGTTACTCTCTGAAACTCACCATAAGGGGGTATTTAAAGTTGTCGCTGTCAAAGGAACATTCTTTTGAAGCAAGAGCCAGCCCTTGTAAAATAGGTATAAAGATCTGTTGAAAGAAAGAAAAAAACGAGAAGAATTCTGCTGCTCCTCGCTTCCATTTTGAGGAGCTAGGCCGACCAAGAGCCAGTCCCAAATCAGTATCCGCTCCAGGGTGAACCGGCTGAGCGCGGCCTTGGGAGTGCCTCTGGAAGCTTCAGCCCTAGCGAGATTTCTGGTTCAACCGGCTAAAAAATGCGGCGGTAATTCAAGATTCATCCAACGTGTTGGTTTTGCTCAGGCTGCAGCAGGAATGGAGCCCGAGAGCTCGGCACGCATCTTACCTGTTTGAAGACCTCTTCATCTTGGTGAGTCGTTCTCACCAATTCCTGGATGAAACCGAAGGGGAGATTCCTACAGAGCATATACGGGACTAACAACGAATGCTGTTGGGTCGACCTGCATGCAAGAGACAAAAGGGTTCAAAAACTCCCCTGCGTGCCTGAAATAACTCTGAAGCCCAAGGTCCACGCAAGCTGTTTCCAGCTTGGCTCAGAGGGCAGATGCCTGAGAGGTTTAAAGGGGAGGTCAAACAAGGATCGCTAAGTGGCCTCCTGTTCCACTGACCTCAGCTGCGTTAGGGATCCTTGGAGCACCAAAGCCGCGTGGGAAATGCACTGGGATCGGATGTTGCTCAGGAGCTGGCTCACCATCGGCTGGCTGCACATCTAGGAGAGGCAGAAACGGGGTGAGACATCCCGTCCTTCACCCTTTAGAGCTTGGGCCCCAAGGCGTTGGCAGGGGACGGTAGCCTGTACATAACCCTTCCTTTCTTCCTGGGCAACTTTTGCTCATGTTTCCAAGTCAAATTAAACCAAGCCTCTAACAGGAAGCTAAGAGATCCTGTCATATCTGAAGGCGCAAAAGCGGCAAGTCCTTGAACGTGGTCTTCTTGGACCAATGGTGGATTCCCCAGCTAGATTCAAACTGCTCTGCTGCTGTTCAGCCCACGCTAATCATCTGTGAAATGGGTCTAATGCTGCTGCTGTGTATGCTGAACAGAGCAGAGAGGTAACCACTCAACCATCCTGGCATTACTGTCTGCATGGCATGACCGGGGCAAACGTTGGGCGCTAGGAAGCGCCTTGGCAGAGGCAAACCGTTCTGTCCTCTGTGCGAAGGTGGAAACGAGGCTGATTTAAGACCAACCAATGTGGCATAGCAACTAAAGGTCCGGCCTAGGAGCAGCAAGATCTGGGTTCAAGTCTCCTCTCAGCTCCAGGACCAAATCAGAGACAATCAAGCCTAATCTATCTCGCAGGGTTGTTACCGAAGACACAACTGGAAGTGGGAGCATTACTGGCGTCGAGGAGAAAGACAAAATACCATTGAACAAAGATCCCAGTTTGGTGGCCGCCTCGCCTATATGAAATGTGAAGCTTTCTGCACAGTGGGAACTGGATTAGGCGGGGTGCGGAAGCATCACTTGGATGACTGTTCCCTGAAGGGCTCCCACCCAAAACCCACCTGTTTCCCTGTTTAAGAACCCCTCCTTCCCCAGTACCTTTGGAGCCTTCCTCTCCTCGATCCCCACTCGGTCGAAGCACTCGATGAGGTAGTTTAGCATCTCCGTTTCCTTGCACGTCTCAATGGCGAAATGATCGCTGCACGAGTCAGAAATGCTGGCCCCCCCGGAGCCTCCGCCGCTAGCAGACAGAAAGGACAAGGCGGGCGGCTGAGTCCAAAGGCGAGAGCGCCCTTCAGAAGCCAGCAGGAAGGAAGGAAGGAAGGAAGGGCCGTGGACGGGGGTCCCGCTGGACAGAAACACCGCATGGGGCGAGATTCGTCCCTCTGTTTGCACACAGCCCCCCAGAATCCCCATACACCGCAGCCAGGCCAGGCTTGGCTGTTACAGCCTGCCCTCCTTGGCTGACAGGCCCACTTGGAACCCGAGCCACGTCTTGGAAGATAAAGCCTTTAGTGCCAGTCAGGTGAATGCCAACACAGAGAAGCGTGTTGGTGCTGCTTGAACTCCCTAATGTGATTCTAAAACTGTAACAGAGCTGAGCTCCTCGGCCACCAGCCACCGATTCCTCACATCATCACTCAAGCAACTCCAGCTTAGCATCTTGTGGACACCGTGAGACCCACCCACGCAGCCCCATGGCTGTTGGGGAGCAGGGGGTACCTTGGGGTCAATGCTCTGGAAAAACTGCTTGCCCCTTAGGAGTCCTTACATCCTTGGGCCCCACCCGGACTCTCCCCTCAACCGAACAGACTCTTCTTCAAAGAGGAGCACGACTGCGGGTGGGAGAAACGTAACTCTGGGCACAACCAAGCATCAGGTGAAGTGGGGTGCCAGCCCAGCAGCCTCAGAGCCTAAACCAAAAATCCGCTTTCCTGCAGGGAGTGAACTGTCCCCAAGTCAGGAAAGAGAGCTTGCGCGATGACAACCGCAGCCACTTAAGCTGTGGCTGAAGGCAACCGGACCCTGACAAGTTCACAACCACACTCGAGGCTTCGGTTTCGCTGACCCCCAGCTCCAGACTCCATGTAGTTCTCATTACAATCTGAGCACATCCTTGCCAGGGCTCATTTTGCACACGTGGGGGACAGCGAGCGTGCTTTCCCACTGTACAGATGGAGTTTGTGTTGCACTAGGATGAGAAAGCAAGCGACCGGCCGTTTGACAACAGGCTCCTGTTGGCTCGAACAAGAAATAAAGTATTTTTGAAATAGGTACTTGCGCTATGCTTCTTTGTAAGATACTACTGTTGATTTGTTACATATTGCACACATACACACACCATGTTTGTGTGTATTTTAGAGCGGTTTAGAAAGCCCAATTAGACACATTTATTATTTATTTTGTATTTATATATCAAATTGGTCACCGCCCATCTCGTTGAAACGGCTCCTTGATCATAGCGTTATTGTGACTGCTTATAGGCTTTTTCAATCACAACAGAGCACCCCCATGATTCACCAAAGTTACTGCATCGCACTAGCTGTGCTCACGCAACGTATTTACCTATGCTTTGCTTAATCGTGGTTTGCTCGGTTGTAATAAGCCACAAGCTAACCATACAGGCGAGACTTACACAACACCATCGGCTGAAGTACAGTTGGCTGGCTGAGGGTTCTCTGTGTTGTTCAAACCCAGCCTCTCAACCATGAACTATGTCTTATTAAGCTGAGATTAGGGCTTAGCAGGCTGCATGAACCAAGCTTGCACGAACACGCCTAGTTTTCACCGAACTGTCCCTGCTCAGGCCACCCCTAAGGAAACAGGGATGCTGTGATGATACCACCTGGATGACTCCAATCCTCTTTATGGCCTGTTCACATATAGCAGATAAGCCAAAACCCTAAAGAAATCCTGGCTAATTAGGCACATGCTCTAATTGCTCTAGCTTGGCTTCTCTTGCAGGAAACGGCTAAGCAGATTGACAGACTTCCCATTTAATAGCTCCAGACCAAAACCTCTTGGCTCCCCGCTCCCTTAACAAGCCAAAAGCCAACTCTTCTAAAGTCAAAATGGCAACGGTTTACCATTGATGTGCAAGCCATCAATTCTGTGTACAGCCACCAGTTAAAAGGCTCATTTCAAAGTATTCCTCCTATTGCTTGACTCACAAGGCAGCCTGGGGTAACTTGATACTAAAAAGCATAGAGAGAAAACAGATTTCATCCTGCAAATGGAAATGTGTTTATGCAGTGTGAGGAATAGGAAATTAGATGCTGATGTGGGGGAAGGCATCTGGAAGGCAGAAAACGCAAACAAGTCACACTCTTTCTAGAGTACCTGGACCCAAATGGGACACAAGAAAAATCCTCCTCCTCCTCTTCCTCATTTTCTTCATCAGAACTGTCTCCAGAGACATCAGAAATGGCAAGGAAGAGGGAAAAAGGGCTGTCGTACATACTGGTATAATGAAAGCAGACGTGGATGAATGAGTACAAGAGAATGGAGGGGTGAAATAAAATTCAGAAAGGGAACACACACACAAGCCATTTGGTTTTCTATTAAGACCATCTTCACTGCAAGCATGCAGCGAGTTAAGCTGGGAAGTTAGCCGCACAGGTTAAAGCCACAGTAGAGTTAAGGCGTGTCTTTGCAAACCTCGGAGCAAGACATGGGTGATCAAGAGAAGCAAAGCAGGCTGTCTTCTGGGAAGATTACAAAAGGTTTGTTGGACCTTAACAGTAGGGACGTAGCTGCCTTTGGCAGAGGTGAGGATCCTGGTCTGTCTCCTCCAACTGCCTGACATCACAAGAAGAGAACTTCATTGCCAGGGGTCTAAGAGACTCAAGGGAAATATATAACACTGCCTACCTCTAGCCCGATGCTGATGATGCCAATTGACAGAGGTTCTCAAAGGCTGAGGCCCAATTCTTCCCAGACATTTGAGCGATTGCTCTTCACTATTATGCAAAAGCCCACTGGCCAAACCCTTTCCTCACTCTGGGACTCAAGGAGGACTCTCTAGAATCGCTCAACAAGAATCTCCAAGAGGCTACCGGCGCCACCTCTCCCAGCACAGTTTAATTACTTCTCCTTTGGCTGAAGAATGGCTACTCTACACCTTTGCTCTAGAGTCTATATGTTATAGGCTCGGTCCTGAATATTGCACATTGTTTGGTAAACCAGAATCTAACTTGCTCTCTTGGGCTCTTTAGACCAATGAGATGGGAAGCAGGGCCATCTGAAGAGAGACCAGTTCATTATGAAGGAGTAATCACTTTATCATCTCTTCCATCAATTTATCATCTCTTCCTTCCTCCTTCTCCCATTGTCCTTCTCTGTCATATTTGTCAACCTGCGAACAGAGATAGTCTTTTTCTTACTGCCTGAGCCATCCCAAGATCCTTTTGGCTGAAAAGCAGAATAATGCTTCTGTAAGTTAGCAAAATATTTCTTCCTTCCTCTCCGCTGCCCCGGAAAATGCCGTGAATATTGCCAAAAAACACATGGTTCACAGTCAGGGTTAGCTCAGCTCAAACACAATTAGAAAAGCAAACCAGAAAGCTTGTTTTAAAAGGGGATTGATTAGCTGAAGCCTAAAGATGCTCTTCCAAAATGCAGCTGGTCACTGCAACCCAGCATGGCACACACAGGAAACCACAAATCCACCCAGCTACAAATATACCTAGAGGGCATCCTGCTTGGGGAAGAAGTGCTGCTGCCCAGAGTGGAGAACAGAGGCAGGGCGGTGGCTACAGGCCTAACCCTGGACGAAGTGGCCCGCGCAGCTGGAGGGCTGGGGCTTATGGCTGGAGGAGTCGAAGAGGCTGAAAGACTGGATGTGCTTGTTGAGGGTGAGGCAGAAGGAGCTGCCAAGGTCCAGGGGTGTGCCACTGTGTACGGACGGTACCTTGGGGATGAGGGCTGGACACTCAGTGGCCCTGCTGGCATGAGATGGGGGCTGACAGACAGGGAAGACATGGGGAGGGGAGCAGCGGGGCTGGGAGAAGAAGTGAGAAAGGAGCCAGCCAAAGGTGGGTGACTTGCGATATTGAAAATGGGAATGGGGCTGCTTCCATAGAGACTGCAATCAACAAAGGGAGAAGGAAAGAAGAAGAGAAACGTAAGAATTGGCAATGGGGAAGGCAACAAAAATGGAGAAGATGATGCAGAAAAGAGAGAAAGCAGCACTCAATTGAAATTCTCTCACCATGGAGGGGCCTCTCGTAAAACGTTCCAGGATCAAAACGCCCCAATCGTTTGGAAGTGGCCCAGCCCCATTTCAAGGGCAGACCACTCCCAGGACCCCTTCAAGGCCAATTCTCTATGCGGCTGCCAAATTTGCAAAGAGACGTGCGCCTCTCTGCGCTTTTCTCCCCAGGTCTCTCAAAGCTGGTTTTTGGCGGGTTGACCTACCTCGATAAGGAGCTGGAGCCGAACGAGCCCACGTTGCAAAACACGGGGCTGGTTCCTGGGTTGGAGCCAGTATTCAGGACCAAGTTTCTATCAGGCGACCGGGCAGCGGCTGCTATGGGCTGTGACGTGGCGGTCAAACTGGCAAAAGGGTTTTCTTCTCTCGAGTGCGTCGACATCATCAGGACTTCCATCAGGACTTGCCCAATCAAGTCCTTAAAGTCCGAGAACACTTTGGGAAAGGAGGGGAGGAAGAGGGTGACTCGACTGCCCGCCAAGCATCTCACGTGGCAAAGAGAAGTCAGAAGTATATCAACCAGCTTTGAACAGACGTGCACATTTCATGCCCAAAGGCTGTCCATCTATTCAGCAATCAGGATGGTGGGCTCCAATCTGACAAAACCGACAGGATGCTCACCGCCTTTTAATCCCAAAAGTAAGAGGAGCTGAGCCATTCACGCCCTGTATTTCCTACTGCAACTCTGTCTGGGGTGCCAAATCACCATAGGAAAATTGAACCCCAGATCTAAGGACAAACTAGATAAAAAAAAAAAAACCCTCTAGCAATTGCTCCCTTTAATTTAAAAGCAAATTAGCCCAGGGAAGCCCAAAAGCCCAGGGAAGTTTTAATCCAGCAAGAGGTGGCAAATTTAGCAGACAGCCCCAGCTGTAAGTCCTTAGCATCTCTAGTTAGAAATTATCCTTTCTGTGAGAAATGGAGATTTAAGAAAACGAGGTGAAGCTAAGCTAGATGAACAGGCAAGCTCCAACCCCACCACAGCCGTTCTGTGAGCCCCCCCATGAACTTTGGCACCACCGAGCCTGCTCTAAAAGGCGCTTAATACAGCTTCCTTTTGTAAACGAACTATAACACTCTGCTTCTAAACTCCACATTCTTAAACAGAGATCACACAGCAGGGTTCTCACCATCTTTAGGGTTCTGTTTGAACTGCTCAGAAAGGGAAGTGAGGAAGATGACATCTCTGTCCCGGTCTTTCCAGGAGACCCGGAAAATCTTGCAGACTAGCTGCAAGGCTTGTTCCTCTGATATTTCCAATCCCGAGGGGGGCTCCTGCAGGGGGGGACACCAGAAAATACTCAGGGCTCATTTTGCCAAGCCAAAGGAGCGCGGAGACATTTAGCAAAGCCATGAAAAGCTACCATGAACAGCAAAGGCTAACTGCCTTTTTAATCCCCCCTTTTATAGGCCACGAGATCGCCTTCCTCTCTGTTCAGCAGTGCAGGAGTGAGGTCTCCTAACTTGCACCAGGAATTGCAAACTCAGGATCAAAAACTATACTTGCTCTGTACCGCAGGGAGCCACGTTTTTATGTGGCATGGCTCGTTTTCAAAAGTCTTTTTGCACTCCTGTAAAACCTGGGGGGCTGTTGCTGCTACCTCCCGCCTGCATGCAGCTGGTGTTTCCCCTCCCCCAAAAGGTAAGTAATGACATTCATGTCTGTACAGCAGAAACAGAAGGAATCGACCCTATCGGAGCCAAAAACGAATGCTGTGAACAGGCAACAATTTAGAACGGGACAAAAGCGTTGTTACTATGAAAAGGGGCCAGATGGACCTCTTTGGGGCAACAGCTCCTGAGCTGCAATGCTGAAGCTGAGAAAAACGTGCCTTGAACCCCAGCCAGGTTTCGGTAGGTTGGGGGTGGGTTTTTTTATTCACTTATTATGAGCCATGTTTCTCGGCCACCCTACTCCAAATGACTCTGAGCAGTTTTACAAAACGCAGATACAATAACGTGCAAGGAAACCAGTACACGACATAGTGTAAATTACAACTGGTGTATGGAGGAAGACTGCAAAAAACACATGATGCCTCTGTTGTTTTCACCGAAAGGGGACCCACCCAATGCTCCCAGCCTCGGGCCTGGAGAAACAACCAGGTTTAAAGATCGTCTGAAGGCAAGCAAAGTGGGGGCCACGCAGATCCCTGGGGTGGTGCTGTTTCAGAAGCGGGGCGGGGGGACAGGGAAGGCAGACCCGGTGCTGCCACTAGATGGCACTGTTTAGCTGATGGGACCTGGAGCAAGCTGATCTTACTGGAGCGAATAGGACAGACAGCCCCAGTCATCCAACACAGGGAGGGTTCCCTGTCTGAATCAGAACCTCTTGCGGTATAGCCAGCGCGTTTGCCACTCAGGCCTACCCTGGCACGTGAAGCAGGTATTACTCCAGAAAAGACAGTTAAGGGCCTCTTGGTTTCCCCACCAAGGCTTCCTCACCTTGTCGGAGAGGCTCCGTTTCTCCCTTCGGTCGCTCTCATCCACTTCCATGTTCTCGATTCCCGAATCCACGTCCACCTGCGACAAGCTGGAAAGGAAGCAGAGAACCCCTTCAATCCCTCGATACTTTCGGACGACTCCCCGCTTTGAAAAGCTGCCGCTGAAAAGGGACGCTCCCCAGCGCAGGAGGCTGAAAGGAAAACAGCCCGAGGCGCACGAGAACGCCGCAACCCACAGCAACGGTGCCGCTGGCTGTAACTGATCGATAACCAGCTGCCCGGCCACCGCCTGCTCTGGAACAAGCCAGCGTGACTCACGTAGGACAGCTCCAGCCCGTTTCACTTCTCACCCCCCACCTTGCGTTTTGCGGTGGTGTCTAGGCAGGACGGCAAGCACAACTCCACACGCGTGCGGTGAGACAGGCGCTTTGATTCTGCATCCCCTAATGCCGTTATTCTAAGCTGTGGCTGGGTCTATAAATTCTACCTATCTGTACCCAAACCTGGAAATCTTCCAGCCTTCTGGAGGCAAAGAGGAAACCCTACAGGGCAAGCCTTTACCCTTAACGGCCATAGAACGAAATAAAAAAGACAGAGCTATTCCGTGGTCCAGTAGCTTCTCATTTCTTCCATGCATGTTCACCTCTTCCTGTTATATTTATTCATCATCTGGATCTGGGAGTCAAGATTTCCTTTTCAGTCATGTAAGCATTCCAGTGGAGACTCTGAATTGCTTTATGGAGGCTGATCACCTACATCAGGGGAGGAGGGAGCAATCTGGGCTGCGTGGCCCATCATTGTTTGCCACGGGCATGCTGGCTGGGGCACATCAGCAGCTCTGTTTTGGAACATGAGAAACCGGGCTCCAAAGCTCCACCAGGATGTACGATTCTCCCACAGGGCCAGCTATCTGTGCCCGATAAAGAAACGCTGGTAAAATCCCAAGAGGTTACGCCGCCCGAGGCCAGAGACCGGAGGGGGCCTCCCGTACCTTTTCTCGCAGGAGACGGTATCGATGTCCATGCTCTGAGACCGGGAAAGGGACTGGGATTGTGTTTCGAGGCTGTTGGATGGCGAGCTGCTGAGTGAACTCACGCCTTCGCTGCTCTGGCTTCGGTGGGCAACACCTTCAGGAAAGACGGCACTGATTAATTTACCCGCTCAACCTTCCAGCGGGTCCTCCCCTAAGAAAGCACTCCTAGTCAAGTTGTAGGCAATTGTGCCATCTTGCAGGAGGAAAGCATGTTTCTCAGCCTTGTCAACTTCCTGATGGGTGGCCTTTACTACCCAGAATTCCCTAGCCAGCAAGGCCATGGCTGAGAATTCTGGGAGTTGAAGTCCATACTTCTGACACTTACCGAGGCTGGGAAGCACGACTGGAAGTTCAAGGAAAAGAATTCATGCCCTCCACCACACCACCCATTTCTCCAATGACTACTCGGCATTTTGAAACAACTGAACATTGTTCAGCTCTCAGTACAGTATTTTGATTCTTTCTTCGGGGTACTGTGGAATTCACATGGCCCCACATCTAGCTTGCAATGGCCTTGTTGGGAACTAAGGAGACTATTAGATGTTGATCCATAATTGAAACACATTAAAACCATGGCTAAACATTTCTAAACCACTCATTCCCAGAACTTCAAGAAAGGAAGGTAGATACAAGGCCTTCTAGGAGCTCTGAGCAAACATCCAGAGAAGTCTGCCTACTGCATCTCTGTCTGAGTAACTGCTCAAGCTGGCCTAATTCCAAACAGCGGACGTCAGAACTTGTATAAAACCACCACAGTTTGGTTCTCGGGTTGACACATTCTGAAAGCCAAGAGTTTCAAGCATGGGACTGAAAATTCAACTCGGGGGGTGGGGGAATGAAAGCTCTGATAGCTGAGTCACAACACTGAGTGGGCTAGATGGCCCAAAGCATTATGAAAAAGCCAAGAAAAGGAAAATGTTGAAAATGAAACATAAGCAGCACACGTAACACCGAGCCACTAGGCACAGAGTTCAGACACCTCAACTTTCAAGATGTTTTTCTCCAGTGTTCAAGCTGACTTTCCAAACAAACAAGTGCTAACTGATACTCCAAACTACTTTGATTTCTGTGCAGCAGCACACAGTGCCATTAACAAGCCAATGTGTGAATTTATTAACTATCTTTAGCAAGGAAGCAACAGGATCCATCACAGAGACCCAACAGTTAGCTCATCCTTCCCCCAATTTTTGACCAGTGCTACTATTTTATCCTTCCAACAAATTCCTGTGAGCTAACTTCATGCCGATTCAAACTTCTATTAGTCTGGCTTATTTGAACCAGGAGTTCAAAGAAACCAGAAATCCTAGTTCAAATGTAATGCCAGCATTTTTTTTTTTAATTCACTCTGTTCTTCTCACATAAGCCAAGGGTTCTCTGGGTCAACTAACCATCTCAATACAGCATCTCTCAGTTATATCCCTGTGCTACCCATAATCCCCAGCCAGTTTGGTTATTCCGATGACGCTGGAAGCTGGAGGATGCCAAGGTGAAAAACGAAATCCTAAATACTACATAACTGTCTTCTCTTGCCTGCGAGCTGCTTAGAGTCTCAGTGACTGAAGTGGCATAAAAGCTTTTGTAAATAAAACAAATAAATATTGTGGTTTAGCATGCCGTCAAAACTATTTTTAAACCTGGTGAGAAGAACTTGGCTACAGCAGGCAACTGGTCACGCAGCACACTTATCAGGGTTAATAAGATAAAAGGAAAGAAACCAGCATTCTTTCTCATTTATGTGTCACATACCAACTAATCAAGTATTCAAAATGATTTGGCTCTGGAATGAGCAATATATATGTACGTCTGGGTGTGACACACACACACGCTCCGTAGTTTATTCTAAAAGCAATTCTCCCCCCCACACACACATTCCACCCTCTTTCTAAACACATGTTTTTCTCCCCCCCTAGTAAACATGAACCTGGAATCCAAGCTGGCCAAACTCATTCGTTGGCAGAAACAAACCGAGAGAGGCTCCCCATGGAGAAATCCCTTTATTGTTACACTGCCTCTCAACGACAAGGTCAATGTGCTGAATGGCTGCTTAAGCAGATGGCAGGAGGGAGGGGGTGAGGAGGCAGCCGCACGACAGCTCTGCTTGCTGGGCTAAGCAGCCACCTCCTTCACCTTCAAGGGCCAGCTGTTCTGCAGGCTACAGCAATCGCTGTGGAAGAGACTGTGGCTGTCAAAACTAGCCATGTTACCCCACTCTCACATTCACACAGGAGCTGTCCGGCTTTCCACGTTGCTTAGAAGATGGCTTGTTGGTTTCAGTTTAGCGAGACACGTGAATCAAGCCTTTAGGGTCTGCAAACCCTGGCTGATGGTTGCAAACGCAGCAAGGAGCTCATTTCTTTAAACTTCCTTGCCCGTTTCCACAAAACGATGAAAAAGCACGTCAGCTTCTTTACAGCTGTTAAACCCAACACTCAATTCACATTCCACGTTGGCCCTGCAGGAAAAGCCTTCATTTCTGGAGAACCAGAGTTCACCCCACAAAAAAGGAGGGCAGGCACGGCTTTTCTCACCCTAACGAATTGGCATTAGCCAGCAATGGCTTACCTGACGCACCAAGTGGAGAGGTAGCAGGGGTCATACTATGAACATTGAGCCCAAGGTTATGGGGCGCCCCTGAAGGCGGTGCTGAGACAGGCTGCCCTGGGGGGTTCTCCCTCTGTGGAGACGTAAGTGGGGTGGTGGGCTGGGAAGATGGCCCACCAGCAAGCCGGGCAAGGCGCCTTCGACGGATCTGCAATGAAAACCAGGGCATTGTGAGTTACAGGATTTCAGCCCTTCAGAACCCCAGACGGTCTTGAGCAATCCTATACTGGACTTTCAAAACAGTCAAGGCCAACTCCAGCAAAGTCAGTCCTGCACAGCCCGGCTATCAGGTCAAAGACAGAATAATTAAGAATTCAAGTTCAAGAGGCAACCGACACCTAGAAAGGACAGAAACTGCTTCAAACCACGAATCCATCCGGCCCAGTACCAGGCTGTCCCTGGCAAAGAGTCACTTCCATTCCAATAAATCTTAGCAATTCACCACCTATCCCTTTCCCCAAGAGAATTCCAAACAACATTTTCCCAGAAATGGATACAGCATATGTGGAAAACATGTTGCAGTGTTCATTCCACTGCTCAGAGGGGCTCTATTATTAGAAACAGAGCAAGGTTCTCCCTATGGCCTTATGCAATAATTTCAACATCCTGCTCTCATCTTCTCAACCTGGAGAGTATCTTCCAAGAAAGCCTTTCTCCATCTCCGTAAGAGGCAAAAGGAACCTGTGTTTCCACAAGCTCCTTTTTAAGATTCCTCTTTGCCCATGTTACCTTAAGCGAACGAAATGTTTTCCAAACTTTCAAGCCCAGATTTACGTTGTTTCCATCCTAAACAACGTGTAAATTTAACCCCTTTCTGGAGGTTAAACTCCACACATCTGGAGGGTATCCAGGTTGAAGAAAACTGAACTCAAGAACTCATTCATTACGTAACTCTTGTTATTTCTGGAGTGATAACTGATATAACACTTTGGTGACATTGGCCCCCTATGACCTGAAGTTATGGGTTTGTAGTATTTTGTTTGCATTGAGAAGACAAAACTTTGAACAACATTGAGAGAAAGGGGCTATAAGTCCATTGCAGGAAGCACAGAAAAGTGGACTGTAAAAGGATTTACCCATATCACCACTGACCAAAATTGCTAAAATTGGGGTCAAGGTAGTGTTTTCATCAGAGAGTCATCATCACTGAAAGTTGACTCAACTCATAGGGACCAGGTTGAAACTATTATTTTCCTGAAAAGAACTGTCCGTCTTGAATAATGTCTGCTGCATTTCAGGGTTGGATATTTCTTGGCCAGAAGAATGCTGAAAGGACAAAGAAACTGCCTTATCAGGGGCCAGATCATGGGACCAGCTAATCGAATGATTCCGAACCTTGGCAAGGTCTGGATATGTGGCCTTCAACCCCACCCCGCCCAACGTATGCTCAATACTGGTCATGCTGGGGAATTATGGGAGTCCACACATCTGGAAGTTGCCCAGACCTGACAAACGTTCTTCAGGACTTTGGGTTGGTGCTTCTCCAGCTCTGCTTGGAACCAACAGGGTTCTACATGCAAAGCAGAGGTCTACCATAAAGCTCAAGACATAGCAACATAGGGTGCTGCTTTAACCTGAGTAAGACCTTCATTCATCGAACCCTAGCAAAAACTTTCCAGGATTAAAACTGGGAGCAGGGGCTCCTTCACCCTTTCAAGAGAGGCCAAGGATTAAACCTGGGACCCACTGGTTCGAAGCAGAGCTCTGCGTGAACTACTTGAAATCTAAATTTGAAAAGGAAAGAAAGAAAGAAAGCAATGCCAGAGAACCCGCCCATCTGAAAATTAGTCCATGTGGTCTGATTCTGAACCACTTCCACGTAACAGGTTTGATCTTTGTTCAATCAGCTTCGGCTTTTCCATGCCACACCTCCTCTTCTGGAACCACAGGAAGGTTCAGGAACAATTGGTGACTTGACATGGATGAAGGTGGGTGAGAAGCACTTCGGGCTTATTTGGGAACCACAGGAAGTAATGAAGTGAGGCTTGTCCAATCATGGTTGAAAAGGGTGTTGTTATTCTACCCACAAGCAGAGGCATCATAACTGAAATGACTAATCCAGAGCTTAGTCTGTTTTACCCAGTCAACTTAATTAGGTATCCTTATTTATTTATTATTTAAAGTATCTCTACCTTTTCTAACCTGAAAGGGTCCCAGGGTGATTAATACAATAACAAAAACTAGACTGATCCCTCTAAAAGACATTATACAGAAGGGAAAAGGGATGGAAAAGCGGGGGGGAAAAGTAGAACATGACTGCAAGTATATTGTATTTATAATATACACTATATACATTTGTACTCAGAGATGGGCTGATTTGCACAGAGCAACAGGACTCCCCGTGTGAAGCTTCAGGCACCTTAAAAGGCTGCATAAGCAGGGTGTGGTCCTGACTCAGGTTCCCACTTTTTTAAAAAAAATGGGAATGCTGAATCTCCAACTTCTAGGTAATGTCTAGAATTAAGATTCAAGCTCTCTGCAACCAGGGAAGAATTATAAGCCAAACAATGTAGTGGAGCAGGCTTCCCATCCTGGCGTTCCAATATACTTGAAGTATGCCAGGCTGAAAAGGACTGCAAGAAAAAGTGTTTTCCTTCACTTTCAAGGGCTGGCACAACAATGGGTGCCTCTCATTCCATTCCCCTCCATGCTCTTTGTTCCTCTGGCTTCCTGTTCGCCCCCACTGTTGAAATGTTAAGGCTGCAGTCAGTTAGCCAGCAACAAACTGGCTTGCTCTCCTATAACTATACCATCACATACGTGAGATAGACAGCAACAGAAATCAAATAAATAAACTGTGGTTTGCTTGCAGGCCCTGTTTAAACATTGTGCTAGACTGCACATAAACGAACTGCATTATGGCCTAGCATGAACCTTGCTCAGAGGAATATAACAAATGAGCTTATTTAAATGGGCCAACTTTGGATTCAGTATAGGGTTAGGGTTTCTTTCACCTGGATGCAAGTGTCAGAAAACCTCAATTTGTTCTAATTCCGATTAGCACATACAATAGTCTCTCTCTTTAAGCAATGCCAGATTTTTCTCTCTCCCAGTATCTGACGGAAGGGGTGCCTTTTCTGCCTGCCCCTCTATAGCAGAGAACAAGTCCTTGGCAATTGGCAACATGTGCCAATGCACATTCTTATTGCAACAGCAAATGCTTGGTAAATTATTACCTTCATCCTGCAACAACCACGTCATCTTGATGTTTTGGAAGCTATGGAATGACTTTGCATAAAGATGCCTGTTGTTGCCATCTGATCTCCATAAATGGAAAGATGATACAAACCAGCATTGGAGAAAAAAAACCTAAAGGTGATCTTCTGAAGCTGACCACAAGAGAAGGTTCTATGCATTAAAAGCACTAATAAATAACTTCTATGTTAAAGAAGTTTTTACTCCTGTTTACTTACTTTTTCCCTCTGTAACGTCCTGAAACGTTACAGCTTTTCCCCTGAGGGATTTCCTTCAAGTCACCTGATCATGTGGAAATTCCAGGTGGTTGTGCAGGAACTCCATCACTCAAATAAATATGCCCCTTTGTAGATTCTATAATCCCACAGCCAGACAATACTGTGCTTTGAAACTGAGAAAGAACTCCCAAGCACCTTACTTTTGGATCATTTCAGAACGTGCGAAGAGAAATCGTCCTTGCTCAAGGGTTACCCGGCAAATGTCCATCTAACCCACTTTTGCAGGACGTTTCAGAGAAACCTCTTATACTATGGCCAGAAGATATCTCCTACTGCAATGAAGATGCGTAACAGCCTTGAGACAGCTCAGACGAGTTCCCCTCAACTCCAACCAGAATGGTCAACTGGAGTGCTGATGAATGTAAAGCCAAATTAAAATCTCTCCTCGTAACAATATATCCCCAATAAGTAACTACACATTAGTTCTTGTGCATAGACAACTGCAGATACAGAGTTGGTTTCAGTAGCTTTTTTAACTAACGGTCAAAAAGGTTTGACCTGTTTGGTTCCTATCCCACAAGACCAGAACCACTCTTTTTGTACTCATTGCTTAGTTTACGTGGAAGAAGCAGTCAGGAGGGAGAGAATCCCTAGCAACTGCTCACTCCTTCCCAATCGATTACTGCATTTCCAGCCCAAGTCTGATACCATTTTAAAAGCAGGATGCTCAACATCCTTAAATTGCTCCCAGGGTTTTGCTTTTACAGCTGAGCATACTGGAATTTTTCCTTATTAGCGGGAGGAACCATCAGCAAACACACAAGTTGATAACATGCAGGTAAACATGCTGTAAATTGTTCCATTTTATCAACAGACATGCTCAGTTAAGAGTGCTCATAAAATACAGCTTGGTTCATAGTTTGGGATACCATGGTTTATAGGAATATGCCACAAACTAACACCACTTTTTTTTCTTTCCTCTCTACCCAGACCCCATAATTTTTCATAGTTTCCCTGACCACAGCTTTCCATAATAGGTTGGGTATACCAGGATTAGCATTTAAACTGGTTTGCCTTTAAACCTTAGTTTGAATTGGGTTTACACACCATAGCTTGGAAGCCATTTATGGTTTATGGTTATAGCCCAATCCTGCCATCAAAGCTAAGAACTGCAGCTTGTGAACTGGTTTAGCAAAACATCCGTTTTCTGTTTATCCAAGATTTTTCACCACTGACCAAAAAAAACCCTTTGATGACCGTTCTTAAATCACCTTTCTCCAATCTGGTGCCTGTTGGCTGGGGGATTATGGAAGTTTAAATCCAATTTATCTCAAAGGAATCAGGTTAGAGAAGGCTGGCCTAAATTACAGAATTCACTCACACATCTTGGCACACTTTATTTCACTGTTCAATTCAGATTTCACCTAATACGTTATTCTCTCTTTTCTTTGTTTCTGAAACGGTGAGTTCTAGCTTTAAATTGTCTTAGGTATTTACTGTGAACTCTTCTAAAAGTCATTAAGATGACAACTATATGTAGTAAATAGTTTGTTCATAGGAGGAAAGCTTGCCTTATTAGAGCAGACAAGCCAGAATTTCAGTACATTCTCACAACAGAAAACTCAAAGTAAATTACAAAACATCATCTTCTTATATTAGGCCACTACATCATGACTCAGAAATATAAATGTATTCAAACATGCAACAGAGCTCAATTGCTTATGATCAATTAGACCTAAATATTTTTACAGATAAGACTTTCAACATCTGTTTTAATTGGCAACACACAAAATTCCATTGCAGAAAAGGGGAAAAAAAAAAGATCAGGAAGGACTAGAATGAAGATAGATGGAAAAAACACCATGTGCTACAACATACTGCCTCCCTGAATAATTACAACTATTTTAACATATTTTATAAAAACAAAACACAACATACTAAGCCTGAGTAAAATACAGGACATCCTCTAAGACAGGAAATACTCTCAAGAACACCTCACCATATCAATAGCCAACAACCTTCTAGTCATGCCATAAGTAACCTGTCACATGGAGGTATTTAAGTCCTGAATCTGAAACTACTGAAAAAGCAATTTCCAGAGTTAATTTTATAATTTCATATATACAGACCTGTTACCGAACTTTACATCCTGCTGTCTTCCTGACTATCAACTCAGACTGGGAATCTCAAAAGTTACAAAACAAAGATCTACAACAGGCCATAAACACAGGGGAAAAAATCAAGAGCCCTTCTAGCTCACTCACATTTTTGTCATCCATGTTCTACCAAAAAAAATCCACCTTTCAATAGCAGTGGAAGAAAAGCCTGAAAATATTTGCCTTTTTGAAAAAAAGCAACCTGGACCCTTTCAAACAATGAAAAGAACTACATATAACCTGATTTTTAAAAAATCCAGAATTAAATTCTAAAATCTTTCTTAAATATAAGTGAACAAAAGGCCAGTTTGCTCTAGTGGTTAAAGCACCAGACTAGAAAGCAGGAGACGGCGAGTTCTAGTCCTGCCTGAAAGCTGGCCGGCTGGGTGACTTTGGCCCAGTCACTTTCTCAGCCCAACTCACTTCACAGGGTTGTTGCTGTGGGGAAAACAGGAGGAGGAAGGAGTATCAGGTATGTTCGCCGCCTTGAGTTCTTTATAAAAATAACAAAGATGGAATAAACAAATACAAAAAAGAGGAATGAAAACCTTCACTTCTCATGTGCAACTCTCATACCTAGATGGTCTTCCTAACACACCATGGCAAACCTCCTTCAGTAAAACCAGCCAGCCACACACCCACAGCTTCCCGGTTATCCCGTGCACAGAACTCACCTCATCAGCACTCAACTCCTCCATAGTTTTCCTCTTAATGGTGGAAGGAGTTTGGGGAAGGAGGGCTCCGGTGCTTCCCTCGAGGGATGTGCTTGGAGGAGGAAACGTCTATCAGTTAACCCCTGTCCCGATGCCTCTCTCTCTAAGGAGCCCTCAGAAGTGCATAGTCAGAGGTCAAGAGCAACCCCACGGAGGAGACCCGCTCCTAAGCGCCTAGAAAGCATCCACCGCCCGCTCTCCCGCCTTCCCTCCCTCCCAGCCCCGATCGCTCCACCTCCAGACCCCGCTCCCTGCTGGATCTAAACTGGTCCCGCTACGATCCCGGGGTTGGGAGCTTCTTACGACCAACACCCTCAGGCGGCTCCCGTTCCTGCCTTTGCATCCAGCGCGCCCGCCTGCCTGCCTGCCTGCCTCCCGGGCCTAGCCTAGCTGCATCTGACGCCGCGGGGCTCGAGCTCTGCCTGTCCTAGCGCCCCCCGGCGTGTGCGGGGACCACCCCGCGCTGCTAGCTCACTCTTCCGCGGGGGTCCCAAGGGAGCAGCTGCGCCTCTGGGCCCGG